TACCCAAGGCTGAAAGTACCATTGCCAGTTTGCTTTGTTAAAACGGTTAAAAGCTGCCTCAACATAGTAACACCGTTGCTTCAAGTGGGCGGACACTGCCACCGAGTTGTCTGAGTCAACTCTTCACTGCGGTGTTCAAACAGCCTGGGATTGTTTCTCCCAAACGAATGATATAATTTATCTCCCCGGGGCTTGCGAGCGACTTATCTCAATTCGAGAAACGTGGACTGCTATCTGAGGGAATTTCCTTGTTTGACTAATCACACTAATTGCCCTGAACTAAGTCTCTATTTAAACCAACAGAACTTCTGTTATTTGATGGTTGAACTCTGGAATAGGTGTTTAAAGCTGAGGCATATAACAGCCACTGTGGTTAGTTGAGGTACTCCTGTTTTTAAGTTCTTCATGCAAATCCTGAACCCTCCTGGTTACTAGGCAAGCCAAGAATACAGGGGTTACTAGGTAATATACAAAGGTTTCAAGGTACAAATATAGCAAGTCTGGTTCATAAAATAATGAAACTGGTGTTAATATCAACTGTATCTATAACTCCAAATGCAAGATGTACTTTGGGCCCTGAAATCCGAGGTTCAAACTCTGTCGTTGTCATTCGACTTTTATTGTAACTAACCTCATTGTTGTTGGGCTCAATACCACTGCTGTTGGGTCTAATGCAGTTTGCCGCTCCAAGTCCAAGGTTTAGGTTGCCGAGCATCATGAGTCAACAGGTATTCCTCGTGACCGTACGGTTTACCTCCGCCGTTGTTCATGAAACAGTGTTAAATAAGAAAAAGGCGTGGATGAACACATGTTTGAGGCAATCTCGTTCTCAACATTTTACAATCGCGCGTACTCGAAATTCGCAAACTGGGATCGGTGGACACTGGTGACTGTCGTGGAGATTCACTGATTAAGCGTGACCTGAGCGCCTAAACAAATGGATTCGGGCACTAATATTACCGGTAGTCGATCGGGTCAAGCTTGATCAGAATGATGGCGTTCCTCAGCATTACGTCATGCCGTGATCGCGGTCTTTATTTGTGTTTCTTCATCCTTTACACCCCGTTCCCTACTTACTGTGATCTGATTGAACTCGTGTGACTTACATCCTATTCCTCAGGTAACCAACTTCCGAATAAATATGATTGTTAAAGATTGAGATTGAATGTCAGCTCAATTGCACGTATTGTGCACATGAGAAAAGTGTTAGGTACCGTCAGCTTTTGTACCTCTCATCTTTTCTATCAGTTGACTTGCGATATCGGTGACACCCATCGGCAGGATGTTCCGGAAAGAGCATCAGAAGATATATAAAAGTGGATCATTAAGTTAATTACTCAATCAAACTGAATAGCACCACCACGTTAAACTGACAGAGTATACCAATGTACGGTAAGCGTTTTATCTTCATCGCCCCTCCACCCGGTTCTGTCGCGAGAACGCTCTAGAAAGTAGCCTTCCACTCCGCTTGGAATTTTGAGTGGATTGACTTATAAAATTCACTTATGCGAGAAGAGTAGATTTGAAACGTGAGTCGTGAGGTGGCAGATTTCTTTCTCTAGAAATTGTGTGAGGGAATCTGTTTCTTCTGTTCTCTTCAAGAACAAAAAAATTGTTATCGCACTTTGAGCCTGTTTTCTTGGAGATCTTTAT